TTTTACTGATATATCTATAGTTGATTATTATTTATTCATAATAATCATAATAGTATATTATTTTACAAATAGTAAATACACTTTTAAATATAAAGAAGAAATAAAATTGGTTTTGTTAAAAGATCTCTTTCTTAAACGTTGGTGAATAGTTGAATTTTGAATGTGGAAATTGTTGATAATTATTTTTAAAGATTACACACATGTTATCCCATCACTATTATCACTGCAACCGCCCACAATTGTTATTGATTAATCATTGATTGATTGTATGTAATCAATTAATTTCATTTCCTTTAAAATTGACGAAACAATCTTCAATTTGACTTTGTGTTATGCTTTTCTTGGCAAAGAGAAAATTACTATTAATGTCATCATTTGGTGATTGTGCTGGTGAAGGTGGTAATGGCAAATCAACTTTGATTTTGTTGTAGATGAAGATGGTCGAGGACAGAAGGAAGAATTGGAAAGCGAAAAATTTGTTTTTAATTGTTTGGAAGCATCTGTTGGCTCTGAAGATAATATTAATTTGAAGTGGTATTCACTTTGATATAAAATATATACACGCATATATATTTTTGCTTGTTAATTAATGGACAAGAATAAAATTGTGTGGTAAGCAAACAATTTTTATTAATTTATTAATTTGTCTACTAATCCATTTCTAAATAAAGTATTATTTATATAATGTGTAAAATATTATGTGTACCTGAAATCAGTTTCATCAACATCTACTAAATATTCTCTCCAACAATTATCAGTTTTCTAATAATCCATAAATCAATTATTATTATTATTATTACTACTACTTGATAATTGTAATAAACTTACTTCAAACCTATGAATTGGTAATGCATCAAAAAATTCATGTGCTATCACCATAGACCATAAATCTAAATTTACATTTATATATAAATATTTATATAACATTATTATATAAAGATGTATACAAAAAAATATATTACCAGGAATTTCTTCAAATGAGTTGTACCAATTAAATTCAATTCTATCATCTTGTTTGTTTCCCTTCTCACAAAGTTTAGAATATTGAATTTTACGCATTTCTTGACTTACTTCAACTAGATTAACTCTAGTTATCGAATTGTAACATTCTTTAAATTT